AAGAGTGAAAAATTTAAGGGGGTCTGAATACTTTCCGTACCCACTGTATATACACACACACATACACACACACACACATATATATATATATATATATATATATATACTGTAAATACAGTGCTGGGTAGTAACTGATTACATGTACTCTGGATCATGTAATCAGATTCCAAAAATTAAGTACTTGTAATTAGAGTATAGTACATTTTAAAATGCTCATAATCCGATTACAGTTTCTTATTATGGATTACATGATTATATATTATTCACACAATGGCAGTAAATTATTCATAATGGAAGTCTGGACAAAAACACTTCAAACCTGGAAGACTTTGGATGTGTAATATCATTGTTATTTTCATGTTTATTAATGTTTGTTCGTATAATGCAGGGATTCGCAAACGTTTTTATCAGCCGATCCCCTTAAAATAAAATATATACCTGAAATATCTCTCGGAGGAAGTTGATATATTTCAAATACTTTAACAACACATTCACATGTTTACAGTTCTCTGATGTCGGTTAATGGTCACATTGACATGCAGGTAAACAAGTAAATATTTATCTTTTTAGTGTTCAAGGGTTTGCATTATTTTTATTGTACTTTTTAAGATTTAATTCATTATTAGCTTTTTATCAACTCACAAACCTAGTGCAGTTCTTACATGAACCCCAGTTTGGCAAACCCTGGTGCATTAATGCATTTTATGATGTTGATATCAAAAATTTTATCTGTTTTTTTTTTTTTTGCTTTTTTTTTATACGAATTTGGTATGTTTAATGTAAGTTTAAAACAAATTTGATTAAAGTAATCTAAAAAGTAGTCGAATTACATTAAATAAAATGAGTAACCTAGATTACATTACTAACTACCAGTGTTGGGCAGTAACTAGTAACTTAGTTACTGTAATAATATTACTTTTTGCGGTAACTAGTAGTGTAACTAATTACTAATAAGATTTCAGTAATAATATTACAGTTACAATCCATAAAACAGCTAACTACAGTTTTCATCATGTAATCTGTAATCTGTCATCAGTAACAGACTACAGTTTGTAAGTAATCTACCCAGCTCTGTGTATATATATATATATACATACACACACACATATATATAAATATACATACATAGTGATAAAGGCAGACTGCCTGTGCATTATCCATTACTTAGATCGAATTAGTAACAGAAATATCAACCTGATGTGCTAGCTCGTGGGCGATGACTTTGGTGATTCCCAGTTTGTCCGAGGAAGAAGATTTCTCAGGGTCAAAGAGCAAACCGGACTCTCTGTAAGTCGACAGGCCCCAATTCTCCATAGCGCCTGACTGGAAATCTGGGATCGCCGCAAGATCTGCAAGTACAATTATATTAAAAACTAGGTTATTTCAAATGATTTCCTGGCAGATGAAAGCAGATAGCAATAAGTTATACCATTTTCACCAGCAAACACTCACCGTGTTTGGGAAGTGGATACGGGATGTCAAAATAATCATCATAAAAGTCGAGCAGAGTGACGGCGGTGTTGAGAGCATATTCCGCCTGACTGATCTTCTCAGGAACCGTATACACTGATATCTATATCAGGATTCAGGTTATGAAGAGTCAGTGGACAGTGGAATGAGGTATGGGTATGATATAAAGTGTGTTTATAATGCTTATGGACTTGCCTCGATTCCATGCTGGCTTGTTTTACTGATGGACTGGAAATCGCAGATGATGAAGGCCACCAGGTAGGTGCTCATCTTCACCGTCGTGTCAAACTGATCCTCCAGCAGCCCGTCAGCCAGTTCTGCAGTTCTCAGCTATTGGAAGAAATAACCTTGCATTAGGTTACACTTGCATGAAATGGTCTGTGAAAGAAATATATACTGAGAAAATACCAATTGCAGATGGTGTCATTTAAAAACACAGACTGATAGTTGTGATGATACATTTGTTGAGTTACCAAGGCTTTTTTTAATGCATATTTTGTGACTTCTCATTTAGGATAATAAACATGCATTCAAAATTCTGACTTGAATGTGTTCAAAGGGCGTACAAAATTTCTGTTATGATCTCATGGTTAAAGGCAGCCGCACAGAATATAAGAAAAGATTTGTTTAAATTATTTTTTTGTTAGATTCTCAACTACATTTACATTTATGCATTCGGCAGGTGCATTTATCTGAAGAAATTTACACCGCATTTTAATCAGTTCACGCATGTTAATTTTGCAGGGAATCAAACCCATGATCTTGGCGTTGCGAGCGTCATGCTTCTACAGTTTGAGCTTCAGAAAAGAACACAGAATTAGTCCTTTTCAACTGCTGAAAATGTTCCTAAAAAATATGTACAATACTGTTTGTGAAATATAATGTTATTGAATACAGTTTTAAAAATCCTATATTCTCATGTTTATTTATTTGCAATGTGTGAGAACTATTAATGTTAAAGATGTACTGTTTTTACCTGATTTTTTTGGGTTTTCATAGTATAAATCCACGTCAATTTCACCTGCACCATAAAGATCAAACTCAGATATTTAACAGAATAAAATTGTTCATTATGTGTACCTTGGGCATGTTGGATATGGAAATGTGCCTTGATTCTCTGCGCACACGGATGGTAAAGTTGGCTTTGAATGCAGGTTCATCAAAACAAGGGAAGGCAGCTCGAGCATGTGTCGCCTCAAACTGAGTGGATGCCAACATCCTGCAGAGAGAAAAATCATCATTTTGAAGGGGTTTTCTATTCTTCAAAGCCACTTCAAATACATTCCGAGTAAAACTTTGGCAAGTTAATCAAGAGCCAAGACATAAAAAGCAATGCAGCGGTTGTCTTACCTGACCTCTCCACTGTTTGTGGTATATCTGCCTTTATAAAAGCCATGAAAACTATCTGATAAGTTGGCAGAGAACTCCAAATGCACCACATGGTTTCCTTTCTCAAATGAGAAGCCATCAGAGAAGAGCGCGATCTGTTCATAGGCTTCAAACTCACTGGTTTGCAGATCCTGAGGATGTCTGGAGCCCAAGAGCTGAGCTTTGGAGATCTGCAGGTTCTTGCTGTGAAGGATGATGGCTCTGGTGTCCTGCTCTACCTCTATGAGAATCTGGACCACTCCGGTGAAGGTCAGGGAGGTCAAGTTGGGGTGTATCAAGAGGTCATAGTGCTGGGGCTTCACTGTTTCTGGCAATCTTATCTTGTCCCAGGGAAAAGGCGATGCATTTGTGTCTGTGTTGACAGTCATTCCATGGTTTCCAACAAAAAGACCACAGAATAAAATTGCAAATGTAAAGCAGCTTAAACAGCAAGACTGGGCGAGGAGCATGATGAAATATCAGGTTTAATAATACTGTTTCTTTTGGATACGAGCGCTAGTCAGCTGGTTATCAATGGCACACATGAGCAAAATATATCGAAGGTTTCATTGAATTCAGGGGACAAAGGTTTTGAACGAACCTGTGCGTGATGTCCGATCGGTAAATGAAAGTGAAACTACGCAGCTCTCACTCAAAATATCCCATTTCCTGATTTTTTTTGCGCTCATATTGTATTGCATCCTGGCGTTTACAACACATCACATGACATTTTATGTAACTGAAAAATATTATCTTTGTTTATAAAAGGCACGAAATTGTGAACGCGGTGAACATTAATTTCTCATGAATATTAATTACGTGTAGTGACGTTTGGTGTTTTTCCGTTCAACGGCTCTGTAGCTCAGCCATAGAGCTCAGCGCATAGGACTGGCTGCTGAATATTAATTAAGATACGTGCCTTGACGTTACAGGAAGTTCACCAAGCAACGTCATCAATGACCTAATTATTATTAATGAGATAAGCCTTCCCTACTGTACTGTTCATAAATACATACACTAAAGTTGGAAAGAAATAGCGCTCTGTCGCGGTGGGTCAAAAACACACGATGAAAAAAAAAAGGGGAAAAAAATTAGACATTTTAAGATACAACAAACGATTGAGCTACGAGTATATTTTGAGCTGTTTTATTTCTTTTGGGACTCCTCCCAATGAATGACAAATACATTTTCATACATGATTGGAGATTTACTGGCCAAGTCACTGGACAAAATGTAGTTTTTGTGTTTTACAAAAGCAGACAAAAAGAAAGTAAGCAGAAAAAGAAAAAAATTAATTACATGAGTTATGTTTTCAACTTTACTCAGTCACTAAATTCTGTTGGAAGACAAATAATCATGCAACTGTTCAGAAACAGGCTATTAGAAAATATAAATGGTCCCTGAGAAAAAGACACAAACATTTTCCAAAATAAGTCGATATCTTACTGTTAGCAAATCTTTTTAAATTGTTTAAGACTTTACTTTAAATTGCATTCATTCTCACAATGGTTCATCATAGTAAATTAACATATAGAGCTGTTTTTCTGGATTGGTTTGACTTCAAACTCTTTTAATTGCAAGGGAGAATTCAGGCAGTACTTCCAAAATAACTGAACTTTCACTATACTTTAGTCTAGACTAAACACTAGACTATCCTCATACCAACACTTGAGAATATTTATGGCGGTGGACGGTTTCTAACAGTAAGGAAATGCTTTAGTACACAATAACAAAACTGAAATACAATAAAATCCAATTTGTCACACAAAAAAAAAAGGTTCCATGAGTGTTTCCAATCTTTAAACCCTGACCGTTTCAAATTCACATGTAAAAAATAATTATAGTTTCATTATACAGGGCTATGAACAGGTTTGCGTATCTGCATCTCTGTTTATGAAATTGTCAGACGGTTTCTAACAGTAAGGAAATGCTTTAGTACACAATTAACAAACTGAAATACAAAAAAATCCAATTTTGTCACACAAAAAAAAAGGTTCCATGAGTGTTTCCAATCTTTAAACCCTGACCGTTTCAAATTCACATGTAAAAAATAATTATAGTTTCATTATACAGGGCTATGAACAGGTTTGCGTATCTGCATCTCTGTTTATGAAATTGTCAGTTGTGTGGAAGGATCTTAGTTTCATAGCTGCCAGAATCTAAAAACCAAATAAAATTAAATAACACTAAATAAATAAAGCACAACGTTTCCTTTCCATATTAACCACATTATATAGTTTCATATGAATGCATATCCATTCTAAAATAAGCCAGCAAAACATATTTATTAATAAAAACATTTACAAATGTCCACGAATGCAGTTCTTTCCATATCTATGTGCATGAATACACATTTATTCAGCAAAAAAAAAAAGACCTGTTTTTTTAAAAGCAAACAACATTTTTTTATTTTATTTAGCAGGTTTCTTTTATTCTCCTCGGTCCAAACGCTATTAGATCACCATCTGATGAGCTTCTGTGTCTCTATTCCTTCTCATCCTTTCCTGCATTTGCATTTGTGAGGGTTGTTGTCTAAACAGTAAACACAGTGTATTAATAAAGATATGACAAAAAAAATAATGTCTATAATGCATATAACACACAAATCTATTAGAATACAATTTCTAAAATGCATATAAAACAAACATTTAAAGATGTCACCTGTTCAACCATCCTCTGCATCTTCTCAATGACAGAGATCATCTGACTGCTGTTTTCTCTCAAACTCTTCTCGTATGTTTTGTTAAGCGTCTCGGATTTCTCCAGTTTCTTCTTCAGCTCTTTCTGTTGACCCTGCTCCTGTTCATTAGACACCTTCCTCGCTTCTGCTGCCTCTGAATCACATATACACACACCGGACACGCATTCAAATGCATGCATAAAATCTTGCGCATGACATGATACTGGAATATAATGGCAGACAGTGTTGGGGGTAACACATTACAAGTAACGTGAGTTACGTAATCAGATTACTTTTTTCAAGTAACTAGTAAAGTAACATTACTTTTTAATTTACAAGAGAATATCAGTTATTTTTTCAAATAAGTAACGCAAGTTACTTTTTTTTTTCCAATTTATTGATTGACAGCTCTCCTGTCCCCATGTTGAGAGAAATCAGAAGATGTTACTGTAGTTCTAAAATAAATATGAATATGCATTAATTCATCTCCCTCACACACCCAAAAAACAAACACAGATTCAGTATTGCTCAAAATGAATAAAAATAATGCAACTCAGAATATGACGGAAATAAAGCATTATGCCACAAGAGGTTTAAAGGAACAGTACACCCAAAAAATTAAAAATTGCTGAAAATGTACTGAAGATGTAGATGAGTTTGTTACTTCATTAGAGCAGAATTGGAGAAATGTAGCATTGCATCACTTGCTCACCAATGGATGCTCTGCAGTGAATGGGTGCCGTCAGAATGAGAGTCCAAACAGCTGATAAAAACATCACAATAATCCACAACACTCCAGTCCATCAGTTAACATCTGGAGAAGACAAAAGCTGTGTGTTTGTAAGAAACAAATCCATCATTGAGACGCTTTTAACTTTAAAACGTTGCATCCGGCCAAAATACAAGTCCATAATCCATAATAACGCTTCCTCCAGTGAAAAAGTCCATCTTTTGTTGTCTCTCACATCAAAATCCACCCACATATTTGTTAAGAGCTGAATTGACTTGTAAACGGTGCTTGATCTGTGCAGATTTCTCTCCTGATTCGACTTTTTTTTTTTACTGTAAAAAGCAATATTATGGATAGAGGAATCGTTTTTTGGCCAGAATCAACGATTTTTGAAGTTAAAAATGTCTTGATGGATTTGTTTCTTTTGTTTTCTCCAGATGTTAGCTGATGGACTGGAGTGCTGTGGATTACTTGTGGATTATTGTGATGTTTTTATCAGCTGTTTGGACTCTCATTCTGACGGCACCCATTCACTGCAGAGGATCCACTGGTGAGCAAGTGATGCAATGCTACATTTCTCCAAATCTGATGAAGATACAAACTCACTCACAAATTTGGGTGAACTATTCCTCTAAAGCATTAGAGTCTCACCGAGTCTGGATTGCAGTGCGGCGACACACTTCTCCAGTTCGCGTTGGGCCGCTTTGCTGCTCTCCAGCGTCTGCAGTAGGTTTGGTAAGTTAATGACGTTCCCTCTGTAGTTCACCAGATCTGTGTTACCGGTGCGACGGGCAGATGCTCTCTCTTTGCATGACTGAACGGGCAACATGGCTTTATTTCCTGAGAGGAACACACTGGCATTTTTATAATGCTACAGACAAATGTGTTTACATGCTTTATCAGATTGTATGATTTCCAGCTCACACACCCTCAGCACTGATGCTGCCGTCTGTCCGATCAGCGTCTGACCAGCGACTGCACAGATTTCTGTAGAGGCAAAGCCCACCGACTGCAGCCTTTCTGACCAGATCCTGCGCCTGAGGAGAAATGGGAAATCAGATAAGACTTAAAATATATTGTTTTTACATATAATTGAAGAATGTATGTCAATACACTGCAAAGAATAATGTTCTTCATCAGTATTTTTGTCTTGTTTTTCAGTACAAATATCTAAACATTCTTAAATCAAGATACATTTACTTGAGAAGCAAAATGACTTGAGATATACCAAAATGAAGTGGGCTTATGCTTAAAATGAAAAAATTATATGTCAATGGGGTTAGGATTTAAAAGACTTAACATCTTATGTAAATTTGATTTTCAAGTAAACGTATTGATTTAAGAAAATACTAGGTACAAATTTTTTTGCAGTGTAGTTTTATATTTTTACCATATTTTTTGATTCGACTGTGATATTCAAGTGCACTGTCTTTGTATCTTTTACAAATTTCTAATACTTTTTCATTTTGAATCAAAGTTTGTGGTTCGTCTCTGAGCTGGATGTTTTGGTTCATAGGTTTGAACTCTCGAGATAATACTCTAATATGCCCAAATGACAAATATTTCACTCTAAATCTAAATCTCTAAGACAAACCAATGAAAAAGAAAGAAAACCAATTTTTTTCCCGATTCAATATGGCTATACAAAAACAACAACAATAACTATATTATTATTATTATTATTATTATTATTATTAAATTATTTATCATTATTCGAAATATTTTATTTCATTTTTAGTTTATAAAAATTAAGCAAATCATTGAATAAATGTACTACTATTGCAATAATATTACTGTAAAATTAAAAAAACAATTGTTGTTCATTGTTAGTTCATGTTAGTTCACAGTGCATTAACTAATGTTAACAAGCACAACTTTTGATTTTAATAATGCATTAGTAAATGTTGAAATTAACATTACCTAAGATTAATAAATGCTGTAGAAGTATTTTTAATTCATGTTAACTAAAGTAGTTAACTAATGTTAACTAATGAACCTTATTTTAAAGTGTTACCAATTAAATCAATAAAGAAATATACTACTATTGCAATAATACTACTGTACTGTAAAATAAAAAACAAGCATTTAATAATAATAATAATACAATACAGTAATAAAAATAATAATTATTTTATTTTCTTATTTAAATTCTAGTAAACAAGAAGCAAAAATAAACAAATCGATACAAAAATATACTACCATTTCAATAATACTATTGTTCTGTAAAATAAAAATGTATTTATAACAATATTAATTACAATAATATAATAATAATTTTATTTGACACAACAACAGCAAAATTATAATACTAATATTTATGTCTGCCTTAACTTCTTTACAATTTCTTAATTTCAAATGTTAAACCATGAAGCTTTTATTCTGCAGAATTCTAAGAAAATATTTGGGAAGAAACCAAACCTGAGCAGGACTGAGAAACAGGCCGAGAGACAGCAGGATGTTGATCAGGTCTGCCTCTCGAAGACTTCCTGTCAGCTGACGGTCAAAGAACACCCAGGACAGAAGCCCTTTACGGGGAAGTTCTGCCATCCAGCCCAGAGGACGTTCCTTCAAGCACACAGACAGACAGACACGGCTAGAGGAGCAACACTGACAATTCCTGTCAGCTGACGGTCAAAGAACACCCAGGACAGAAGCACTTTACGGGGAAGTTCTGCCATCCAGCCCAGAGGACGTTCCTTCAAGCACACAGACAGACAGACAGACACGGTTAGAGGAGAAACACTGGACATTATTGGCTCAGACGCAAGCAGAAATGTGATTTCTTACGCTGTCTTTGGACGGCTGAGTGTCTGAGGCGCTCTGCCCGTCTCCTCCAGCACTGAGAGTTTTACTCTCTCTTAGATGCTCAGATTGTTTTTCAGATGATTCAGTCTCGTCCGTCTGGGCCATGTCCTCTGTCTCTCTCTCCTCATCCTTCTCTTTGAGTTTTCTCTTCTTTGCATCGATCAATCCTTTCTTTTTTGTCGTCTGTTTGTCTGATTTTTTGGGTTCATCCTCCTTTACAGAGAAAATAGCGTAAAAAAGTTACAATAACAACTAAATATCAACACCTATTTAGTAGTCAGCCAATCATAACAGAGGTCATTTTTACATTCAGAAGTAAAACCTTAAAGGTACAGCAGGCCATTTAATTTTGTTTATAATTGTTTTTGTGAAAGGAACCTTGTCTGGCATTATTTCAAAAACTTATTTCATTAAACCTTTAATTTTTTTTATTTCAGCTAGTTGCCAAGGCAACATTTCTCATTTTCATTTAATTTAACTTGATGTGCTAAAATAACTAAAACTGAAATAAGAATTTGTAAAAACTACATATTAACATATTTTTAAAAAACACACACAACAAAATGACTAAAACTTTAACTAAAATTAAAAAGAAAACAAAATATAAAAGCAAAAACTAATTCTAAATATTATTAAAACTATAATAGTATACATCAATGATCCTAAAATAACCCTTGTGTGTGCAGCAGGATTATTATAACTAACTAAAAACATTTCATTACTTGAAAAAAATGAATAACTAACTGAAATAAAATATAAAATCCTTACAATTGTTTTATTTCAGCTAGTTTCCAAGCTAGCATTTCTCATTTTCATTTAGTTTAACTTGATGTACTAAAATAACTAAAACTCAAATAAAAATGTATTAAAACTATACCGAACAAAATTATAAACGCAACACTTTTGTTTTTGCCCCCATTTTTCATGAGCTGAACTCAAAGATCTAAGACTTTTTCTATGTACACAAAAGGCCTATTTCTCTCAAATATTGTTCACAAATCTGTCTAAATCTGTGTTAGTGAGCACTTCTCCTTTGCCGAGATAATCCATCCACCTCACAGGTGTGGCATATCAAGATGATGATTAGACAGCATGATTATTGCACAGGTGTGCCTTAGGCTGGCAACAATAAAAGGCCACTCTAAAATAAAAAAAACGAATAAAAATGACAAAAACACAACCAAATGAATAAAACTTTAACTAAAATTAAAATGAAAACAGAAAACATTCAAATAAGAACTAATTTAAACTATTATTAAATCTATAACAGTATCTCAGCGATACTAAAATATCACAGGTGTGCAGTCTAGTGTACCTTGGGAGTGCTGTTGTCCTCTTTGACGCTGGGGCCCTGCGGCAGACGGCACAGACACTGATACAACTCAAGCCCAAAATCCCTCTGGAGCATCTCACTGAACATCTCCGCCATCAAACTCACCTGATAGCGGCACAAGAGACGTCAGCTAGGACACTAGTGCATCTTACCAATGCAGATTACATCATGACTGAGCCAGTTTACAACATATGTAACATACATGTTGTATTATTTGAATTATTAATACATGTTAGAATATATATGTGACCCTGGACCACAAAACCAGTCATAAGGGTCAATTACTCGAAATTGAGATTTATGCATCATCTGAAAGCTGACTAAATAAACTTTCCCTTGATGTATGGTTTGTTAGGATAGGACTATATTTGGCCGAGATACAACTATTTGAAAATCTGGAATCTGAGGGTGCAAAAAAATCAAAATAATGAGAAAATCATCTTTAAAGTTGTCCAAATGAAGTTCTTAGCAATGCATATTACTAATCAAAAATTAAGTTTTGATTTATTTACGGTAGGAAATTTACAAAATATCTTCATGGAACATGATCTTTACTTAATATCCTAATGATTTTTGGCATAAAAGAAAAATCGATAATTTTGACCCATACAATGTATTTTTGGCTATTGCTACAAATATACCCCAGCGACTTAAAACTGGTCTTGTGCTCCAGCGTTATATATATATACAGTGGGTACGGAAAGTATTCAGACCCCCTTAAATTTTTCACTCTTTGTTATATTGCAGCCATTTGCTAAAATCATTTAAGTTAATTTTTTTTCCTCATTAATGTACACACAGCACCCCATATTGACAGAAAAACACAGAATTGTTGACATCTTTGCAGATTTATTAAAAAAGAAAAACTGAAATATAACATGGTCCTAAGTATTCAGACCCTTCAGATTCAGATGAGCTGTGACACTCATATATTTAACTCAGATGCTGTCCATTTCTTCTGATCATCCTTCAGATGGTTCTACACCTTCATTTGAGTCAAGCTGTGTTTGATTATACTGATTGGACTTGATTAGGAAAGCCACACACCTGTCTATATAAGACCTTACAGCTCACAGTGCATGTCAGAGCAAATGAGAATCATGAGGTCAAAGGAACTGCCTGAAGAGCTCAGAGACAGAATTGTGGCAAGACACAGATCTGGCCAAGGTTACAAAAAAATGTCTGCTGCACTTAAGGTTCCTAAGAGCACAGTAGCCTCCATAATCCTTAAATGGAAGACATTTGGGACGACCAGAACCCTTCCTAGAGCTGGCCGTCCGGCCAAACTGAGCTATCGGGGGAGAAGAGCCTTGGTGAGAGAGGTAAAGAAGAACCCAAAGATCACTGTGGCTGAGCTCCAGAGATGCAGTCGGGAGATGGGAGAAAGTTGTAGAAAGTCAACCATCACTGCAGCCCTCCACCAGTCGGGGCTTTATGGCAGAGTGGCCCAACGGAAGCCTCTCCTCAGTGCAAGACACATGAAAACCCGCATGGAGTTTGCTAAAAAACACCTGAAGGACTCCAAGATGGTGAGAAATAAGATTATCTGGTCTGATGAGACCAAGATAGAACTTTTTGGCCTTAATTCTAAGCGGTATGTGTGGAGAAAACCAGGCACTGCTCATCACCTGTCCAATACAGTCCCAACAGTGAAGCATGGTGGTGGCAGCATCATGCTGTGGGGGCAGCAAATCGGCATATTAGAATGATTTCTGAAGATCATGTGACACTGAAGACTGGAGTAATGATGCTGAAAATTCAGCTTTGCATCATAGAAATAAATTACATTTTACAATACATACAAATAGAAAACTGCAATTTTAATTGTAATTATATTTCACAATTTTTACAGTATTTTTAATCAAATTAATGCATCCTTGATGATCATAAAGTATCCAACAATGCAATGCACTCAACGTAAACTTACATTTCTAGTATAAGGAATGATACAGCTAGGCACAAAAAAAGTTTCCCCCCCCCCCCGCCCAACCTACT